GTATACCACAATATAAAAACTAAACTAAGTAGCGAAAAGTGTTAAATTAGCTTTATAGTTCTACTACGATAAAGACTTTTTTTGACTAAGATCTACCACCCCTTCATATCTGTTTTCCAATCACCCTAACCCCCAACACCACTTCTGACTATTTTAATTGACTGATTCTGACATTGATTGCTCGGCATATACTATTCCATCTCTCATAATTTCGTACCGTTTTATTGCCGTATTCCTTCCAAGAAGTTTATCCTGTAGATAAACTAATTCGATACAGTTAAGTTGATGTAGGTGAACAGATATTTTTTTCTTGCTGGTGACTAGTCTGGCAGACTAACAAGAAAGCACATCTCTAAAAATCTGTTCCTTTTGTTAGCCAAAACTGAAAGCTACACAATATAACACCTAAGAAGTTTCCCAGAAAGCCAAGTGAGTGAATCTGTTTTTATCATTAATTGCTTAAAATTGTGTAACGAAATCAAAAAAAATTTAGTTTATTTGCTATATAACTGACACTGAACTAAACACATGCTGGTTTCTAGAATGAAGGCCAGCAAGTTTTCCAGTAAAGTAGTAAAAAGCAGACGAAGACAAAAGTTTCTACCCTGACCGAGATTAATACTGAGTAATCATTGAGAATATGATCAAGAATTGATGTGAAATTTCGCTTTTTTTTAGGTATAGGCAACATTCGTATGGGACAGACCTAATTGCTTAGGTTAAGACATCACATCTCGGTTAGAACAAATTTTTATTTCAGACCTTAAACATTACGTGCTCTATATTCTTTGTCAAATGGACATTGTATTTATTTAATTTAAATTATTAAATTTAATGTAATTTTTAATTAAGTAATCTACAATTTTGGAGTATATCAAACTTAAAGTCAATCTGAAGAAATGATTTATGAATGAACACCTATTAAATATTTATTGATACAAGTTGCTATTTTGTTTTCCTTCAACTGAGAGCTGACAGTTTAAACAAATAAATTTTTTTATAAAATTTTATTTTTAACCAATTTGTAAATTTTTATAAACAATAATAATGATATGAGACGATTACTTTAAAATCTTCAACTTATTTTATTTAGTTATTAGCACCTCATCCATTACGAATAACAAAGGTGCGAAAAATATTTTTGCAAATATTATAAAAATTTATAATTTACCAGTATACTAAATAAAATTATATAATACAGAAACAAATACTTTCAAGCCAAAAAACATCATCATTGAGTTCAGTCTTTATAGTCTGAGTTATTACTCGCATAAAAAATTATTAAATGATTGATGGTCTTTGCCAACTTCCTCAGTGAGATTTGAGTTTATGAAAAATTATCTATGAAATATTAATAATTTGTTTACTTTTAATTTTTCTTATATAAAGTAAATTAAAAATATTCATTCATCATATTATGATGAAGTATTTGAAACAATTTATCTATAAAACTTTATTGATACATATATGAACAGTAGAATTCCACTTATCCGGATTCATTAAAATTTCGGATTAGCGAATCAGTAGTCAATTCGGACCACAAGGTATATAATGCATATTTTGTATTTTCACAAAGTGTAATTTAACTTCAGTTATATTTTGTATTTTCACAAAGTGTAATTTAACTTCAGTTATGATGGTAGTGACTATTTTGCTTAATAGAAATTATTGTATTTAATAAAGAGGTTTTGAAAAGTAGTGAACTGCAACAACAAAAATTTTTTTTATATAATTTTAATTAATTGAAATACAACTGTTACGAGTATTGCCAAATGCCAAACACAAATTTTTGTATTTTTCAATTCTTTCCATAGATCATCTATGTATATATCCAATAAAAATGAACCGATAGCACTTTATTTTTGACAACAATAAAATAAAGTTACTTATCGTGATAGTGCGACATCACTAGTACTATCAGAAATAGTATCTGAAATTTAAAAATAGTTTTATTTTTTCCCTCATATATCAATAATTAAGTAAAGTGATCAATAAGTGAAGATCATAAGGCGTTGTAGTAGATAAATATACTGTTTAGGTTAATTGATTCTTACTTATTGCCAACATATGATATCTTCTGGTGCTTGATATTATTTTGGAAAAGTAAATTATAATAGGTGTATTCTTTTGACATGAATGCTCAAAGAAAACAACTTTCAGTTGCTTAAGAATAACTTGGCATCACTGCATAAATCAGTAAACATATGACAAGTAAAAAAGTGTTAAACAAATTTTTGGTTGATATATAGACGTAATTACAAAAATACCTGATAATTTTATGAAAAAACGTTTTTTATATAAATATTTACAAAATAAATGACACGAAAAAACTTTAACCAAAATAAGAAAATATTAAACATTGACAACATCTAGCAACAATTAAATTATTTGTCTTTATAACTAAATTGTAACTTGTAAATTCCTTAATAAATAATTAACAAATGACTTCTTCACAATTACTAATATGTCAGTCATCATCACAAATTTTTTTAAAAAAATTGCTTATTTAAATAATAAATAATAAACAAACCCTTCTATCATCTTACTGGAATTTTCCATTTTTTTCCAAAAATCATTCACAATATATCAGTTTTAAGATTTGTCACCATTGTACTGCGAGCGGCTTATTCTTTAAGCAGTTTCAGAAAAGTGGGCTTATTTTTGTGAATTTTGTTTTTGTTTTGCATGTTAATTTTTAAGCGATACTTATTCTATTAGAGAATTCATGTCAAAAGAATACACATAATAGTATATTATACACTACAATTAATGTTAAATATTCTATAGACTGGTGAAATTATATTTTTCTAAGACTATAAAATAAAAATGTTGCATCGTTTTGCATTATTTCTAGATTAAAAAAGTTGAATATCCATAACTATCCTCTATTACTGTAGTTAGTATGCGTATAAAATATTTGCATATTATTTATTTGCAAAGATTAATATTTAATAACTGCAAATCTTCTTTTTATTTGGTGTATTGATTATACTGATTATGGATTGTGAGGTCCAACGTTCACGTTTTTCTTACTTCCACTGTTGTTCTTCTTTTACCAAATAAAAAAATTAAGTTAAATAAACTGCAAATTGCAGTTCATTTGTTTATAATTGATTGTAAAACAAATGAAGCAGTAAAAACAATTAATCAATAACTGTGAACAAATAAATAAATATATTTCTCAGAATAATGAACCCCTAGTAATTTATTTTTTACAGGCATAAAATTGCTTTTTTATCTAAATGTTGTACTACAACTTTTTATAAAATTATAAAAAATAAATACCACTTGATAAATTAGATGACAATTAAAATTATATATATGGTGTTTAACTGAACAAGGAAAATATTAGAATATTATGGATCTGGAAAATCTTTTTTAACATGACTTCACATATAAACATAATATGTTACATATCAAAATTTTTGTTTATCATTTATTAAAATAGCATATTTACAAACATAATTATTTGGTAAATCATCATGTAAACTTTCACGCCCAAGCACCATTCGCGAATGGATGATATATATTTGATAATTGCGGGCCAATACAAATTACTGTATAGATTGGAGGGCCGCAGAAAGAAATACATACGTTCAGAGTTGTTCTTATAAATACATTATAACATTATAAATACGGTTATAATATTAAATTGAGTTTTTTTAATTTAACAGTTTAAATTGATTTATTTGGATATAAAACTTTCCACTTTAAAAACTATATAAGTAAGCGCCTTCTCAAAACAAACCCGAAAGAAAAACGCGCTAGAGGACTTATTATAAATATGTATAAGGGCCCATATATTATTTTCTAGAGATAATTACGAAGACTGTTTAATAAAGAATAAAAACCACGCATTAAGAATATTTTTGTATTATTTTCTTTATAATCTGATAATCTCGCTTGATAAATGATTTATCAGAAGTTGGAAAAAAAAAAAAAAATAAGGAAACAACATAGAGCTCTGCACCGCCATATGGAATGATTTGGGATTTACCAAGTTACGTAGTGCCCGAGATTTGTATATGTTAGTATTATAAATCTCTAGTACTCTAAAATCTCAATCGCAACGCAATCATAACATTTTATAATTGCAATTACATATGAAGAAGTTTTCCAAAAGATGGATGCCGCGAACGCTCACAGTGGTTCGAAAACGTACCACAGTAATCTGTCCCAAACAATGTTTGAGCATATTTCAACGTAAACAAAAAGAGTTTTGCATCGATTTAAATCTGTAGATGAGATATGAATTACACCATTATACTGAAAAATCGAAATTTTATCACTTTTGAAAGAATACTTCGGTTTTTAAGATGTACATACTAGTATATGACATTTTTAGATCTGTTTATAGTGAAATTAAGGAAACAAGCCAGCATTTGCTGAAAAAAGTTTTCTTTCACCACGACACCACAAAATCAAAATTGGTCGGTCTTAATCAGATTCACGGTATTCTCCAGATTTGGCATTATCTAATTTTTACATATATCCATATTTGAATTATTTTTTGTTGAGAAAAAGACTTCAATCGAATTAAGGTGTAACCTTTACAAGTACTGAATAATTTGAGAAATATGAAAATTATATTTTTCACAAATATAGAAATATTAAAATTTCATTGCATGAAGTGTATACCATATAGCAGAGTTTAAAACAATCTAAAAGCGGATTTTGAGAAAAATAAAGGAAAGTAATAATTCAACTTCTCTCATTTTTTAATGACTTATTAAATTAAACTAACATTTTAGGACGCTTCTTTCTTGAGGGTCTTGATTAATTACAAGAATTGACATTGAACAGCATTTTAGGCTTCGCCAAAGATTCTAGGTGATTTTAAACACTGAGTTATTTCTATATATACGGTAACACAATGGACTAATAGGGCTAAGTGGATTCCCTAGAGATCGCCGGTATAACCAATTAAACAGTTCTCACAAATTCAATAATAAATATACATTAATAAAACCAGCAGTAGGATCGAAATAATTATTAAAATTACAATAACAAGAGAAATAGCAGTGATTTTTAATTTTCTTAACGAACTTGATATTTACTTATAATCATACTTGCGCATACATACAGTACATACAGCAAAAGAAAAATTAATAGTCAGCAAAAGACTTTAATATTTTTAGCGTATGTTTTCTATTAATATCCCTCAATACAGCTTTTTCAGTATTAAAATTGCATAGATTAACAAAAATCAAAAGATACTTTCCCAAAAAGAATTAATTTACATGCCTATGATGTGATAGCAATAATTAATAAATTATAGATTTAAAATTGATATTAATTCGTATTTAGAAATCATTAAATGACTTTAAATTTATTAAATATTTAGATTTCATTGCTGTAACAGCTTATTAAAAAATTATAATAATAAAATAAGTTCAAGCCTCTAATATAACATATATATGAACATTTGATTTTTAAATTTCCGCATCGTTACACAGGAACTGTTTGAAATTTCACCTTGAAAGTCACTTAACTTGAATTGGTAAAAAATATCGGTAGTACAATCGCAATCGTTGGGGCCATAATTAATGCCCCACAATTATTGCAAATAAAGAAAAAACTTGCAAATACCATTAATTGTTAGTTTTTTCTTTTTTTTAAATTAAAACAAAACCTACAATTTGTATTATACAAAGAGTTATTATATATTAACTGCAATTGTAGTAGGCAATTATTAATTATAAAATCACTTTAATCTAGAACTAAGACTATTGATCTGTTTAGTCTTAAAAATATATTATTTAAACAATCGATGGTATATTTAAAATTAATTGTACTCATTATATCATCAACCACTAGATATAATCATGTTGCCAACATTAAGAATCAATTAACCTGAACAGAACTTTATTCTATTACAACACTATATGTTATCAATTGTAAGAGAACAAAAAAATCGCTAGTAAGCCTCCATTAACATAACCATAGCGAAGACTTATACTATGATAAAGCATATACATTTATTAATTTCTCTACTTAACAACTGATATTTGAGAGCAAAACAAAACACTAACAGGCTGCTCTATATAGCACAATCTAATATCAGAGCAGTCACTAGCCGTACAGGGCGATATGCAAATCTTAGATCAATCATCAAATAATCAGCGAAGGTTGTAAGGAATACATGAATTAGTCAAAGAGAAGGGACGGACTCTGCAGAAATCTCCTGGCTAAGAAAGTGCCCAGTTGCACTTACTCATAAAAACCTCAACATATAAAAGTTCAGATATTAAAAATTTGGATGTGCACTCTATAAGACTTTATCATAAAAAATACTCTACATACAATAGATTAATATTCTGAACCAAAATAATATTCTATGATGTCAATTTTAAGACCCACTTTTATATGACAGCGAGTCCTGAAATACGGATTTCAAAAACGAATATGTTTCTAAAGCCTGTCTGGTTTCTACAATAGATAAAAGTTGAAATGTGTCGAGTTTAGAATATGAAAGCCACTCACACCTTTATCTATTCTATTTTCACACTCTTGCTTTGGCCTACTCTGAGAAAAAGTGTTTTGTCTACAACTTGACTTCTGAAAACTAAAGAAACTTCTCGAATTATGTATTTTATAGACTAAATATTAAAGATATTTTAAAAAGAATTGTTAACATAATTATTAAGAAATATTAGGAGGTCAAATAATAATGAAAAATGTTATCTATGCATTTGCAATCTCTCCACAGTCTCCAAACGAGTGCCATTCATTGACTAGCTCAGAAAGAAATATCGCTGTTTTTTAGATTCCTGGAAATAAAACCACGAGCATGTATGAATTCTGATTAAACAACTCACGTCGTTTCTCTGTGGGCGCCTCCTTTTCTAGGCACTGGGCAAAACTTGAAAAAGTATGTTACTTATCTTTATCACTTCATGATAGACTCTTAATGTATGTTTATGTTTATGAATCATATAAGACTACGTATATGTAAAGCCTTGACAAACATTGAAATGTTAATAAATAATATTACCTCAAAAATTAGATATCAAACCAAACAGCAGGCTAACACAATAATTAGATTTGCTTTCTAACATAGAATCTGAACAACTTGCATTCTAGACAGCTTGATTTATGCGATATGCTCTTAGACTAAATGAACGAAATCATCATATTTTCAACAAGAAAAATTTTCAAGTCTCATCAGATTGGTGTTAACGATCTCAATCCCACTGTTGAACTACGCCAAAATGGCTCTTCTAACTGCTCCATATATTAAGCATGCAATAAAGTTTTACTAATGTTGAAATCGTCTTTAAATGATAGACCTTATACACCAAAGTGCACTTAAACTTAAATAATGGCCTGTTGTGATACCAAGGATTAGCGTTGTACATATGCAGACCAGCAGAATTCCCATATGCAGCTTTCAGTATGAACTTGCCAGACAATACACTTTACCTTTTACCCTATATGTACTGCTTCAAATTGATTTAAAGAAAATTGCGTTTGAAAATTTTAAAATTATATTTTAAACTATTGAATTTTCTTATTGTTCAATAATAATATCTATTTTTTACAGGCTTATGCCCATAATTGGTCAATACACAATATCAGATGTTGCAAAAATTTCCTCACTTTTACACGAACGCTACGGTCGCATTGTGCGTTTTGGAGGTTTAATGGGTCGTCCGGATTTGCTGTTTATTTACGATGCTGATGAAATTGAAAAGGTCAGTAAACTTTTATATAAAATTTTTTAATAAATTTTTATTTTTAACTCATTGTAACATTTCCAGAAGTTAAATTAAACTCTTATAGCAAATGATTGTACCAAGTGACTTCATTATAATCTGTGTTGTTAATAAGTTGAAATAAATTTGTTTGCTACTAATATTTGCTTTATATATACAAATGTATATGTTGAATTAATGTCTTTGCTACTTAACGCTTTGTTGCCGACATAAGTACAATGGTCTAGTATTTAAAATTCCAAAGCGTACACTCATCGAGTGTACGATCCATGATAGACACGTACGATGATTGTTGCAATTATTGAGCTTTCTTATAACAAATGTACTCACAATTACAAAAAATTTTCACAAACAACATTAGTACAATATGTATCAAAGTTTTATATATTAAAAACTTGATTCAAAATTATTTATTATATATATATATATATATTATATGTAATTGGCAATACATTAAAATTTCTAGTTCGCATAATTATAGAAAGAAAAATTATTTTTTGATCAAGTAATTAAATACTTATATAGAGTGTTTCATTTTAAAACGCATTTAATTAATGAGATGGCCCTTGGACAATATCTATCGATTTATAGAGTGTCCAAAAAACTTTACCCAAAAGTTAACCTCAACCAAAAAACTATTAATATCTCGAAAATCTTTCATCGAAGTAGCTGACGCCATGTATTCATTTTTAGACATTAAATATTATTTAATTTCATGCCTAATATATTTTTGCACTCAAATGGATTCGAGAATTAAAGTGATTCAAAATTAGTTCAAAATTTTTTAGGGAATGTTTAGGGAAAGTTAATACTATATAATCCTATTAGTTGTAAACAGTATTTGCTAAAGAAATTTTAATGAATCACGCACTGTTTTCTTTGAATCGATGTCGGAACTAAAGTAATTACTGTTTTTTTCGTTTCCGAGATTAAAGAATCAACTCCCGAAATTATTGCATTAAAATGTAACATCCAATATAACATATCCATTATCTAAAAAAACATATATAGCCTAGATTTTTTCCCGAATTATAACTAAAACCATCACCAACTACTCTATCTTGTTTTTTCACTTACCTTTTTATGAGAACTCGTACAATTTACTTCCAAGAAGAGCTATCTGCATTTTTATTTAGTATTCACAAAATTCATGTCATAGCCAAATTCATTCAATATTATAATATTTTTTAAACTTCCTTATTATTTTTCTTTTATTGCAATTAGTGCTATCGCAATGAAGGTCCTACACCTTTTCGACCATCTATGCCTAGTCTAGTCAAATACAAAAGTGTTGTACGGAAGGATTTTTTCGGTGATCTTGGTGGTGTAGTCGGAGTGTGAGTATTCATGATACTGCTTAAATAATAAATATTTGGTATATATTAAATGTTTGTAATTCTTTTAAACAGCCATGGCGAACCTTGGCGTGAATTTCGTTCACGTGTACAAAAACCGGTACTACAATTATCAACAGTCAGACGCTATTTGCAGCCATTAGAAATTGTCACTAATGACTTTTTAAAACGCTGTGAGTCATTACTAGATGAGAACTCTGAATTGCCAGAAGATTTTGATAATGAAATACACAAGTGGTCCTTGGAATGTGAATACAAAAAAAAAATACACACCATTTATTAGATTAATTAAGAATTTTAAATTTACAGGCATTGGAAGAGTTGCTTTGGATGCACGTTTAGGTTGCCTTGAACCAAATTTAACACCCGACTCGGAACCACAACAAATTATAAATGCTGCAAAATATGCTTTACGAAATGTAGCTACTTTGGAATTGAAAGCACCTTACTGGCGCTATTTTCCAACACCTTTGTGGACTCGTTATGTTAAGAATATGAACTTTTTTGTAGAGTGAGTAATTAGAATATGATTACAATGAAGTTCTACTATGTTAAATGATTTTACAAATAATCATATTGATAAGATATTTAATTAATTAAGTATTTGACTTTTTGGTTTCATATAAATTATTTAATATCTGCAGAGTTTGTATGAAATACATCAAATCAGCTACAGAGCGTCTTAAATTGCAAGGTCGTAGCCAAAACGGTGAACCGTCTTTATTAGAGAAAGTTATAATGGCCGAAAAGGATGAAAAAATAGCAACAATAATGGCACTTGATTTAATATTAGTTGGCATAGATACGGTAATTTGATATATTATTTTTTTTTTGGATCTTTTATATTAAATCTTTTATATTAAATCATACGATGCTTTGTTTTTAACAGATATCAATGGCAGTTTGTTCAATGCTGTACCAATTAGCTACACGTCCAGAAGAGCAGCAAAAAGTACATGAAGAACTGAAACGTATTTTACCCGATCCACAAACACCACTGACAATACAATTGCTCGATCAAATGCATTATTTAAAAGCTTTTATCAAAGAAGTATTTCGTATGTATAGTACTGTCATAGGTAATGGACGAACATTGCAAGAAGACACTGTAATCTGTGGTTATCAGGTGCCAAAAGGTGTGCAAGCTGTTTTTCCAACAATTGTCACAGGCAATATGAATGAATACGTAACTGAAGCTGCAAAATTTTTACCAGAACGTTGGCTCAAAGCTAATCAAGGAGGTTTTGATGGCAAACTTCATCCATTTTCATCGCTACCTTATGGTTATGGTGCACGAATGTGTTTAGGACGTCGTTTTGCCGATCTAGAAATGCAAATTTTATTAGCTAAGGTATGTAGAATATAATCAATATACATAAACATTCACAAAATAACAACATAAAATTTCATCTACAGCTACTGCGGAACTACAAACTGGAATACAATCACGAACCTTTACAATATGCTGTCACATTCATGTATGCACCCGAGGGACCATTACGATTTAAAATGACAAAAATTTAATAATTTTTTCACAATAAAAATTATTAGAATTGTAACAAATTATATATATTTTATATTATAAGTTATTTTTTTTAAGTGAAAGTATTTAATAAATATATATGTATATAAATATATTTAAACTGCATTTTGAATTTAAGTAGTACAATGTAGTAACAAATATAATACGTATCTATGAAATACCTAGTGTTTAACTGTGCAACTAGCAAGCATTAGCTACATTTATAAACAAATAGCAATTTAATACTTTATTAAATTATATTAGCACTCAACGAGTGCATTAGTTAAAAAATGTCATATAAAATGTACCTCATTAATGACTGCAATATTTTGTTTATATTAGGTAGATAAAATTATTATCAACTTATACAGTGTTAATCGCAATATAATATTTTTGTGTGATGTATTGTTGCATATAACAAACTGGAGAAATAAAAACTGTCAGTTTATGTTTTTTTACTTTTATTTCCTTCAAACCATTTCTTCACAACTTCAACGCTATCTTTACCACTTTCCACAGTATCGCTTAATAATTGAAACACTATTTCGACATCATATGATTCACGGGCCTCTTCCAAAATCGTACCAAATATTTCACATTCAATATTGGATTTCAATTTCTTTTCATTATAACCACGTTCTTTCAAGCGGTCATATAGCACAGAATTGCCGCAAACAACAACAAATACTGCATCAAACCACCGTTGTGGAAAAAAGTCGCAGCCATGATATTCAACTATATTGCCACCTTGCTGTATAATGGGTTCCATATAATCTAGCAGCTTTATATATTACAAATTATTTTAATCATTTCTATTAAAACATATACAAAATAAATATATACACCTTATCTTCATCTAGTATGGGACAATCATATTCCTTATCATATTCTTCAACGAAATTTTTTTCTTTAGCAATTTTTGAACAATCCAACCAATTAAGCTGCAATTCATCCGCAAGATGTGCACATATGTAAGACTTACCGGCGCCAGGGGTACCTAAAAACAAATTTGATTAATATATAAATAATGAAGACACTCTATTTAAAAGAGCACACAATAATTAATGCAAGCAGAATTTACTTTGTTTACTTTATACCATAAATTATTTTCAATTTAATTTCACTAGCAGTGAGTTGCCTTTGCACTTTAATAAAACTTTGTAACTAAATACTGTTTTATTTAAAATTATAATGATATGTAATTACCAGTTACTAATATATTTGGTTTTATTGAGTTAGGCATTTTTCTAACAACTTATATTTTTATTAAACGGAGCAATAGTAAACTTATATCCACCGCTTCATTTGTTAGTTTAGAAATCTGTCATTTCGCGATTATGTTCAACATGTGAGAAAAGGAAATATTGCTCTGAACATACCCTAAAGGAGTAATGTCAAATATAAATTGGCATCACTAAAATGTTGATATGTTTCGTTTAAAATTCAAAATAAATTTAAAATAGTTAATTTTTGTTATATAATTGTTGTTATATTTATTGTAGAAATCATTAGTTTGTTTTTCAATTTGTTTTTTTGTAAACTCAGATTTTTTTAAACTAAAATTATGAACACAATTTTTTTGCGAGTTACAATTGTTAATATGCATTAGTTTCCGAACTTAACAATGAATTTTTCAAATTTTTACTTTTGTTGTTTCGGAATTCTTTAGCTAGGTAGTCTCTTTTAAATTAATTAATTCCATCATTTTTACGCTACTGTTGGAACATTTTCCATAATACTTTTTATGAAATTTCGAAAAACATTAACATACATAAGTAAAAACATAAAGTTTATGTAACAAAATTTTCAACAACTTGAAGGGGTGGCCTCTTTAATGTATTTATACTGTTTTATATTGCTATTTATCCGTTTATATACAAAGTTTAGCGATTGAATTGTTACCAACTACACACAGCTACATTTATCAAATTGATATTGCCAACTACGTAAAATTCATACAAGTAACAGCTGTTTATTGTTTACAAGAGACCACAAGCATATGCGTTTGTTTTATGGAATTTAAACGTAACGAATTTATTTGGCTGGAAAGTCACAACCAGCTATTCTCGTGAGCTCAAACACATCAATTAAATGTTTATATATCGTACCAAAAATCGTTAAAATAGTACAAGCAGCGTTGCCAAACGCTATGGTGAACAAAAAAAACATATTCTAGATGAGCTCAAGGTGAAGCCTTATAAGTTCCAAAAGGCACAAGATCTTACACAAAAGCAACAAAAAGTTAGACTCGAAAGGACAAAGGAGTTGTTACGCTTGCACGACCATATCGAATTTCCAGACAGTGTGTTCTCTGATGAGAAAAATTTCTTTATTGAGCAATTTATAAACTCTCAAAATGATCGTGTTTAATTAACTGAACTCATTGCTGTATATTACCATTGGAGACTACGAATCGTCACCCGAAGTATTTTTACATCTAAAGTAATGGTATGGGCAGCTGTGACAGCCGATGGAAAATGGAGGTTACTTTAGAGCCGTGAGCACGCAAACATTTCGGTCGTAGATCATGGACGTTTCAACAAGACTCGGCTCCGGTCTCGATCTCATTTTGTCCACACAATGGTTTTCCGGGTGTAATTCCGGTGGACTACATATTCCATCTGAACCACTATTGGACATATTTTTTAAGTCTCACCATACCAGTGGCGTAACTACATTTTTTAGGCCTGTAAGCAAATTCTAACTAAGGGGCCCCTATCAACATACTAAGGGGCCCCTCTTTTTATACTCTTTACACGAAAAATGTGAAAAGGGTATATAAGGTTTGTCAAGATTTTCGTAACGCATTAAAGGAAACGTCGGAAATACCATTAAGTATATATCAGTACAGTATATATATACTTTTTCAGTTCAAACTACTCTCTCAGCTTTTGAACTCTTCGAATGAAACTTTACACACATACTTTTAGCCGACCCTGTTCACCATTTGATTTGATTGAAATTTGACGTCTATTTCTTGCAGCTGTGATATAAACTTAACAATCGGATATGAGGTTTCTCCGTTTTTAATAAAGGTATTTAAATAGAATTTAGTGTATACAGTACTGATATTTGCAAAAGACAACGTACAAAATTATTTTCAAATGGGTTTAAATCTAGATATAGCTTCCATATAAACTCTCGATTACGACACATACTTTTCTTAGAAAAACTTTTTTATTTTATAAATAGGTTTAATATTTTATTTGAAGTACATACATATTATGTACTTTAAATTTAAAATTTATGTGTCTTTTATAAAATGCAATATGAAGTTATTCCAACAAAAAACGTTTACAAACATTTATAGTGGGGCCCCCTAAATTCGGGGGCCCGAAAGCGTTGCTTCCAGTTGCTTCCCTGTAGTTACGCCACTGCACCATACTCTCCAAAATGGCTCAGATGGAATATGTAGTCTATCGGAAAAGCACTGAAGAACCCCATTGATCAGGAATAGGCTAAAATACCTAAAAGTCACATTTTTTGAAGCATGCAACTCATTTTATAACCGTTTGAAAGCCAAAAAGGCAAAAAGTGGCCACATAGAGCTAAAATTAATGGATTCTAAAATTTTGATTATTTCCATAAATTTTTGTAAATTGAATCAATAAAAAATAATAAAAAATAATATCTTCACATAAAAAGATATGGTCGTTACATAGGTAACACTTTAAACCCTGTATATGTATTAATAATTATTATGCAGTAATAATTATATAGTTGTGTTGAATAAAATTCTTCTTCTCATGGGACACACAAATTTTAATTTATAATTTTTAGATTATATAAAAAACAAGGAGCATATATAAATTATTGAGCCAATATTAAAACCAATATTCTCTACACTTATACCGGTCCGTAGTTAATAAACTTGCATAGTTCATGACCTCTACTTCATTAAAATTATTTTTACAAATTTTTGATAATGATACGTATGCTAGACTTTCGTTGAACTTTTTACTAGTATAGTATAGTATAGGACTAGAAATGTATTCAAACAATTAAAAAAAACATCAGAACTAAATAGAAAATATAATAAGTGTTAGCGACATGAGAAGGCTATTTTCCTTAATTTCGTTCTAACCTTAAAACTGAATTTTGTACGAAAATAACTTAATTTCTCTGAAACAAAGATGAAATTAGGATTTTTGCGAAATTAAGGTGTGTGAACATAGTACAAATATTATCATTACAACTATATGGTTTAATAATAAAACAAACATTTATAAAAAAATTTGAAACATAATTTTGTTGAAACCTTCATAAAAATTATTATTTTAAACATACTTTTCATTATTATCTCAAATATTTATATATTGTATTTAGATTAGCCTGTACAAATTGTGAAATAAATGAGATTGTAATGACGACGGTCGTAAATAAACCGAATACAAAAGTGCTCAATACAAATTCTAAAAAGGATTCGGTATCTCCGTTGCGCCAACCTAACATTGAAACTGCATATCAACCTTACCAAAAAGAGCCTTTGCATACCGTAAGTAGCATAGAGGTGTGTTGCAGATATATGAACAGAAACATTAAAAACATTTATGAGTTTACCGAATTTTTACAGAACATCAGTGGGTCAGTAAATCGGCGCATATTAAATCCAAAAGGCGGTAACCCATCAGTGTTATTAAATGAGAATGTAAAGAGTGTTGCGCAAATCAATAATGAGATTTTTGTCTCTAACCTAAAAAGAATTCAATGAATGCTATAACCTCTTTTGTGCCTCAACAGGTGAGTGAATTAACTCTGTTTTATAAAATATCAAATAATGTATACATTTTAATCATATGCATATATTCAACATTTTTATAGATATAATTTCGTAAAGGAAGAAAAGAGAAAGAGTAAAGAGAAATATTTTTAAAAAAATTAAATATATTATTTCTATAAAGATCAATCATTATTATTCTATATCTTGTGAGACTAAAACAACTAATATATTTATTGTTATATTATTGTATATAACACATAACAATTTCGGGTATTTCCTGTATTAGACCTTTAAACTTGCAACAGCGTTTGATAGTTTCAAATGGTTTAAATTTGACCAAAATATGATATATTTTGTTTTAAACAGTTTTGGTCTGTATTATTTTTGATATCGAACATAAGTATGTCTTTAATTATTAATTTCAGTTTATTATTAGTTGTAGTAAAATTTGATAGAAGTCTTAAAAATGATTTTGTTTCTATTTATTGATATAAGTATTACAAGATTAATAAGTTTATATTTTAAAAATAATGACATGAACTTTATATTTCTCTATAGGTCTCTATAGAAACATCAAAACTATAAGCTGGAACGAAAGTCAAGAAGAAGGTAAACTCGGTACAACCGATTGTAGGCTGAAGTCAAGCGGTGAATATACCTTTTATATATTCAAGCACATACGAAAATTCATAAGAAATGACAAATCTGATACTGGTAGGAAAATTATAAACAGTAGGAATAAGAATATAAGTAATACATTACATTACAATCTACAAGATAACTTTCGAAATGAACATCGTATTGAAAACAACGACAATAATAGAGAACAAGATACTGCTCGCACAAATGGTATATTCACTTTACCAAGTGAATGTGAGATACTGCCGTATGTTACCAGCAAACTAGTTAAAATCGAAAGCGATATCGCAAATGTGAATAAAAATGTCCAATTACTACTAGCTGAAGTCAGACGTCTGAACAGCCTTTGTGCTAATAATGTGTTATCATAGGTGCATAATACAATACGTATTAAAAAACGTTAAGAACATCTTTATCTAAAATCTGCTATTGCAAAAAAATAATATAAATATGGGTTAAAAGACGTCAATATTTACAATTAAATAATATTTAATTGTAACCCATTTGTACAATAAAATAAAATACAATAAAATAAACATCATATTGTATCAATTAACAAAATTGCAACAGGAGCGAATTCTACAAATATAACTATACATATCGAAGAATAGGTAAAACTCTTGATCCAAGATATGAAATATTACTGTTAGTAATATATTTAACCATAATTTTTTAATTAAGTTTAAATTCAATTAGTACCTCGGGTTAGTTGAAAATTAATAAGTGCTATTTCTTATGCAGTTAGTTCATCGATTATTAGATTATAAAGGCTTCTACGATATTTGCGTATCCAGACATTATGGAAACTTTAAGCTAAACACACTCAGACTTATTTGCAACATGTCTGCAAACTTCATTTTGGCAATTATTTTCGTCACAGTTAACATTACCGCATGTATTTATATATACTTTGTATCTCTAAAATTAATTAACACATATATAATTCAACATTTTTTTTTTTTAATTTAATTGTTTATTTAAAGATAATTAAAGTTTTTATATAAACATAAACATATCAAAAACAAAGCCTAACCACTTGCCAGGCTTGTGTCATCTGTTAATGCGAGAGCCAAATTTTTAATAAAATCAACAATGAAATGTTATTATCATTATATTATCCTTTCTTCTTTCTTCACATATAATATATACATATGGTATTGTATGATAAAATAAGTTTTCATCAAATATGTATGAAAAGTTTAAAGAATGAGAAAACAAACAAAATATTAGCTTGAACATACCCAGTAGTCGGCATATGTCAAATATGAAATTGGCATCACTAAAATGTTAATACGTTTGGCTTAAAATTCAAAATAAATTTTAAAAATGAATCTCAATGATCACATATACTTTTAAATCTTATATTTGTATTAAATATATATTTATTTCTTTAGTTATTTTTTTTTAATAAAAGAATAGTTTTAATTTAAATTTTTTTGTTTCTAATAAAATTTTATAAATGATCATAATATTGAATTGTATATATTATACAATATATTATAATATATTATATTATATTATATTATATTATATTATATTATATTATATAATGTAAAATAATATAAAAAGAATTTTTTTGTTGAAGTTTAATACTGTTCGAAACTCTATATTATTTAAAATGTAAAGGACACTAAAACTGACAGAAAGTTTTGACTAAAAATGAAAAAAGCAAGTACCTATGCGTATCACTTCAGAAAAAGCATATTTTGAAGGAGATAAAATAAATTTGGAATAAAGTTTAAATTTGTGTGTTTTATTTACAAAATCCGGGTACTTTTTGAGTAATGGTTATTATTACTACAATAACTTGTATTTTGTAAAATTTGTAAATTTTGTATAATGAGAATTTAATTAATGATTGTACAATTATTTTGTTTTTTCCGATGTAATAATAAGTTTGTTGGAAATCAGATTTGATTTATATATTCAGTTATGATTTAATAAGTATAAGTATATATTAAAAAGATAATATAAATAAATAAAGAAACTTAACAAACTTCTTGTTTTAATATTATTTTTCTTTCTATAAAAATAATCAATAAAAATTCTAATATCAAATTAAATAATTAGTTTTGATTGTCCTTTTGTATTAATTTGGTCACTAACTATAAATATTTAACATTTGCTGCAACAGCTACCTACAATACTTTCTAAATTAACAATTAACAATTAACCGATATAAAAAGCCAAATAACGATTGATGAAATACTTGCATTAATTATACATTCTTTCCCTTTCTCTTAAGAACGAATGTTGCATATAATATGTAACATTATATTTTATTGATATGTTTCTTATATATTAATTTTTTATAGTTATTTAATTGTAAACAAATCCAGTTATCGATTGTGTTGTCTTTAGCTTAAATGGACAAGCACGATTATGAATCTATAGAATACTTGTAAGACAAGAACAAACTAAATAAAACTATATAATTTTAATACAAATCAAACACAAAAATGCAATATCAAGTTTTAATATTTACATTGAATGGGTAAAACCGCAGAATGTAAGCTAACAGAAAAAATATATATAGTATAGGTACTTTCGCCTGTAGCATTACTTAAGAATCCACAGATTTCAATTTATCAAATTATGTGCATTTTATGTGCAACTTTAGAGTTTAATAGAGTCAATATTAAAATAAAAAATCACTTTCGACGTAACGAAATGCCTTGTAGTTATATCTTTCTATATATCGAGATTGCACTGTATATAATTTTAATATATTTTAAATTTACTAAACTTAAGAGTCAATATTAAAATAAAAAATCTTTTTCGAAGTAACGAAATGTCTTGTCATTATATTTTTCTTTATACCAAGAGTCTATTGTATATAATTTTAATATATTTAAAATGCACTTCTAATAAGTTTCAAGTTTTGTTTCATTTCATTTTTTCTATTTTAATCTACGTTTTAATAATAAATTAAATATAAATATATTATATTTATTTTAATTAATATTTAAATCAAATATTTACAGATATACATATGTCAGTCAAACTTATTTTGTCAAATTAATTACTATAAACATAATTTTCATAAATGTTTAGATCTCAAAACTTTATATATTGTATCCAGATAAAATAACGAAAATGTACGACAAACTATGAAATTGTGCTCACAAAGCTAACTGTGAAACCAATGAGATTTTTTTTATCAAAACTGAGACGTTACTTTATTGCAATAGCTATTTGCTACTGTTTGGAAAGGTCCAATTAATTACGCATGCGAAAATAGATCAGCAGTATTGATAGGATATATTTTGAGTGCATCTGATCTAGTACAAAAGTAGAAGAAGAAGCAGAAGAGCAAATTTACATATGGGATAACATTTCGTAATTTACTGGCATGTTCAGTCTGTATGAGTTATTTGTATGATTTGTATCTTTCGTTTAGTTTCGCGGAAGAATAACTTTTCAAAGATGGAGAGTGAAAAGAAAATGTTGCTATCTTTAAAAAAGGAATTAAACCCAAATGTTACGATCGATGGGCAAATTGCTTATACAGTACCATATATATTGAACGGATCTCTATTTCGAATACTTACGCAGGAGGGTGAGAATGTAACGGTAAAATGCTGCAATTGCCCAGAAGATAGAATTTATCGTGGTAGCTTGCGTTCAACCGGCAATTTTCATATGCACATCAAAGTTAGTAAAAAAAAAAAAAACTAAAATAATAGCAATATGCTGTAGTTTCAAAATAAAAGTTGTGTAATGTGAGAATTGAATATATTTTTTAATTATATGTGTTTTATGTTAGCGCCGCCATCCTAATTTGATGAGCACTTTGGAAAAGATGAAAATTGACGCAGTGCTAGAACGTCGTCACTGCCAATCAAAAAAGCGCAACGCGCAAACTATCGATAACAAATCGAAGGTGAAAAAATTGAAAGAAGGTTCTGAAAAGGACTCGGTTTCGTCGTCATCGCAGCGTACGCTTAAGATAAAAAAAGTGTATCGACGCCATCAACAAGAGGCTCTACGTAACGAAAGTACCGCAATTAATTTTGCAAATCAAAGCGTAGAAGATACACAAAGAAAAGTGAGTAAATTATTTTTGTTTTTGTTATTTTGATTTCGAACTATTTTCGTAGAACGACGATGGGCAAAAAGTGCAAATCGCAATAAAACCAGAACGTAACAATACAACAGTTCCGTTAAATTTAAGTGTTAGAACTGATGAGCAGAGCGAAGTTGCTCCTCGTGGCTCGCAAGATAAAAATGCATTGATTGGCGTTTCCACCTCTTCCGCACCGCAACAGGTTAGTGTAAAATTTCGACAAATTTTTCTTATTTTTTTTATTTTTTTTACCTTCTAATATTAAAAAAAAAAACAACATCTATAGATTGTTAGAGTTAATGTTTAATAATAATATATACAGTGGTTAAAAAAAGTATTCGTTATTTACTACAAATACTTTTTTACTTCATATTTTGTTGTTCTGCAATAGAATTGTTTTTTTTTTTGTTATATTATTTTAAATAATTATTTTGTAACAATACAATATATAATAAAATATAATAGAAATAATTATTTTAAATTATTATTTTATAATAAAAAATATAATATATAATAAAATATAATAATTTATTGTTTTAATGACCAAAAAATTATTAATAATAATTTTGTTTTTTTACACGCTAATTTATCAATAGTTAAATAATAAACTTTATAAAAAAATGTTATTTGTTTTTAAAATATTTTATTTTAATCGATAGCCATCATGACTATAGATTATAGTTGAAATATCGGTTAAAATAAAATCTTGTAAAAACAAATAAATTTTTTTTAAAAAGTTTATTATTTAATTATTGACCAATTAGCCCGTAAAAAAACATAATTATTATTGCCTATATAATATAATAAATTATATTATTATATGTTTTATATTTTTTTTTAATGAAGAATACTTTTTTTTACCACTGTATGTATATACATATATAAAAATATATATCTATAAATTGATCAAATTTTTTTACTAAAAATAGAGCGTCGTTAAAAATAATTAATTTAAATTAAAGAACTATTTATTGATATATTTATTTATTTGTGAATTAACACTAATATTAAATTTAAAGTCAATTAAGAATAAGGAACTGAACTACTGCGTCCTTAGCCCTCTGCTTATTTTCATATTAAGAATTATATCTAAATTTTATTTAATATGTCTTTGGGTAAGTATAGCTTTATTATATTGTAGTTGTTGGTGTTGTTGTTACCCGCTGGGACAAGGATTTACAAGACGATTACATGAGTAGGGAAGTGGATGAGTAGTGGTTGTGGGTGATAGAGTTGAAAGAAGGGGAGCGATGAGGCTTCGTATTATATTGTAGTCACTACACTTGATTTCGTTGAAAAGGCTTTTGTGTTGGTTGAATTATTGTAGTAGTTTATGAGATAGTTCATGGTTAGAATACATTCACATTTGGGACATGTTCGTTGTACATCCCTTTTGAATTTATTGATATAAATAAATAATATCAGTTTTAAATTAATTTTAAATTTGCTCAAGCATTTAAAATTCATAATTATGACAGCTTCTCCTTGGCATATCCATACACATTATAATAATTAAAAAAAAAGGAATAAATAAAAATTATTTTATTATTCATTTATTATTTTTAAGTTATTGTTATCAACTTTTAAAATAAAAACCTTTTTATAGATTTTATTTACATAATCTATTATTATTTATATAAACCTTTTTCAAAGATCTGCTTGTATAGACCTTTTTTGGAGTGCTAAACTGCAGTTGTTGATCTAAAATTGACAAGTGGCTCCGGGTGATTCCAAAAGCGGCCGGGTTTACGTCAGGAACCAACTCGTCAACAAGTGCCATTTACCACACCTAAATGGTAAGCCACAACAATGACTCCGAGACATAGACGTAATCGTTTTTAGAACCTCAGTTTTTATTTTTTTATAAAATATTTTTAAAGTCTTAACCATTTTAGTTTGCATTAGCTAAAAGATTTGTCTTTCAGATCAATTAAAAGACTACATTTGAAAATAACCTGGTCCAAATTCTATTTAATAAGTAATTATAGCTTGAGGCTATCCTCTGACCTGTTCTGTTTCAATAAGAAAAGTTTAAGTGACTATCACAATCCCTATAGTTTATTCGTACTGCAAATTTTGTGAGTCCATTGATCCATTTGATTGCAATTAAATTCAACATACAAAATTTGTAGTATTTTTTAAACTGTTCAGCTAATTTTTATTTTGAGAATATCTTTGTTATAATGTTTAACACTTAAAAAAATTTTAATATATCTTTATATTTAAACTATTTTGCTCTTATTTAATGTGCATTAATATAAAATATTTATTGTCATATAGGATACAATAGAAGAAGCGGAAGCAAATACTGAGGCTCATAATACCAATGACGACACTACGGAAACACCAATAGCGGCTTCAAGTGAAATAACAAATTTATTGAATTTAATTTATTATAAAATCTTGGATGTCATGCGAGGCGAATATCGTTCTTATGATGCAGGACATAATAATGTTACAACACAAGGTATTGCAGCCAACCCTAGTATTGGTAATTCGCCATATAATTTCGACATTGGCTATGTGACATCCTCCAATATTGCCATCACTTTGGATAAAATAAAAACCGATTTAGGGAATTTGTCACATACTTTTCAATTGTTACAAAATGAAATAAGGTTGCAAAATCTCATTTATAGTTATTTGCTCTGCTTTCAAAATAATAACTCTAATATGCGTTAATTGATTTCATAAAATTATAAAATAATTATTATTTTCTTTCTGTAAATTATGAATTTATGTTAAACTATGAAATAGAATTTCTCTATATTTTTTTTTATCTATTATATTACATTTATTAAAAAAATGCAATTTATTTTAATGCATTAAAATCAAAATGGAAGTTTTTGATTGGGTTCTAATAACTAAGATCTTATTTAATAAAAAGATTGTTGTTGATTTTTTAAGAATATCACATTTCACTTAAATATTATTTATGATAACCTATATACATATATATATAAAAAATTGCATTCAAAATTATTTAGCGATAGCTTGACAAAGATGTGATTATTCCGCTTATAGAAATATATTAGTTAAAGTTAAAGAAAAACTAGTCGTTACCACTCATTCTGGAGCTGTATCCAGGCTTAATAAACTCAATGAGAATGTGAAATAACCCAGATTTGTTAAAATATTTAAAAATATATTAAAATTGATTTAAAAATAAAATAATAAAAATTAATAAAACTGTCACACATTCGTAGCTGTATTCAGGCTCAATAAACTTAATGAGAATATAAAATAAGCCTGACTTTTTTTCATGCCCGAACTCGATGAAAAATATTTGGGTTTTTTAAAAGTCTGTGATCTGGTAGAACTGTATGCAAACAGTCTTAATAAAAACTAAATAAGATTATGCTATTTGTACAACAAGAATAAGGAAGAAACTCTGCAGCATTTTTTGGGACGCTCCTGGTATTTAAATTCTTCCGATAACAGCGTATTGTAAAGGGAATAGAAATAGAAAAATTTAATAATTTTTATATATAAATAAATCGGATTAAAACAATAATGGAAGAATTTGCTTAAAATGCTTAACTAATCTACAACGCTAGATTATCCGCCTTTTTTTGCTAAATTTTTCAACAAAAACTTTATTGAAATTTAATTCAAATAAAATTTATATTGAACACTATTATTTATGACCTTTTGCCATTTTTCGGACAGCTTCATAATTTCGAATTTCTTTGGTTTATCGGCGAAAAACCTGGCCAACTGATTTTCATCGACTCTCCTGTCGGACAATTTTTACTTTTAAGGGAGTTTTATAGAGACCGAAACAAGAGATAGTCAGCTGAAACAGGATCCGACAAATAGAGGGGGTGGATGAAAACTTCTCAATCAAGTTCCTACAATTTATTTAAGTGAAACAAATCTGTTCGGGTATACTTGGTTTTTTTTCGTTCAAGCGGTTGAGTTGTAAGTAGTTGAGGACCAAATTACCCGTTTCACCAGGCTGTAACAGTTTGTAATAGACAATTTCCTTCCAATTCCATCAAACACTCAACATAACCTTGTTTATCGTCAATCTAGGATTGAAGTCGTTTGGGGAGGATTTCTGGCTATTGACCGTTATTGCTTGTATATTGCAAGCGTATTTGAGTAGACTGCTTTTTTTAAATGAATCCAAGCTGTCATGTGGTTGATGTTTACTGGTTATACTCTCTCCTGACAACTTGCGTATCAGTCTAATCAATATAACTTTTCATAGGAGCGATGAATTACACAAAATGTAGCCTGAAATGTGTGTTTTTAAATACGTGTTCGTTTAAAATTCGATTAATGTTGTCAGTTATATAGAAACCAACACCGTCTAGTGATGGCACGCTGAACAACGTGACGGTTTTTGGCTACAAGGCCTAGAAATTTCAGATGCCTGCAGTTGACAAAAATACCAATATTTTTTTTCTCAGTAATATAATTTTAAATATTGAACTTTTATTTAAAACAAAATTTTATTAAAATTAAATCGCTTTTATTTTGCTATAATTTTTATTAAATATACAAATTTCTTTTTATATTATACTTATTTTCTTTAGTTATTTTTTTTTTTTGTTTTTAATTTTGTAATACAGTAGAAATTTTATTTTGTATTACTGTGTATAGTTGTTTGTTCATAAAAGTAGCTTAATTACTTTAACGTGTATTTCTCACTTATTGTTAAATAATATATTATATATTTTATTTATATATATATTTATATTATTATATATATATACATATAGGTATGTGTGCTTTTACATACATATATATATATACATATACAAATATATTAATTTAAAATTATAAAAAAACTGCTTAAAAATTAAAAACAAATTTTTGACGTTTTCCGCTTTAAAAATTAAACAAAGAACTAAGTTTTAAAAACAGGGTGTACATTAGATGAGTATACATGGAGAATTTATATAAATAATTATATAAAGAAGTAAATATATATATTTATACATACACATATATGTATATAAAGTAAAAGAATTTATATAAAAACATTATAATAAAACTTTAAACATAGGAGTGGCTATGGTATATGGAATACAAAAGTTGTTAGGGATGTTGGCTTAGAGTATGTTTATTTTCGTTTTGAATATTTAGCAGTTGATAAAATTGGCAATTCCTTTAAGGAAAAATATAATATTAATACGACAGATATCATATAGGGCATTTTAAAAAAAATAATAAATTATTTTATAAAGTATAATTGTATTTTTAATTTTATCAATTTAAATATGTTATAATAAAACAATTACATATTTTATTAAGAACACATTAGTTATTTAATACATTAAACATTTCACAATAACATAATTAAATAAAATTGCCGTAATAAATATTTATATGATGTTCGATTAACACAAATAAAAACATTTACATTTATAAACAAGTTTATATTGTATAAAAATAATATATAATAAAAACCTATTCTTATATAAAATACATATTTAAAACAAAAAACAAACTTGCGTTTTTCTATATATTGCTTTAAACTAAATTTTAAGTTTTGATTTTAAACCAGTACCTAAAAAAAATAGATCAATTTATTTCCAGATTATCGCAACTTCAATATTTAAAACGATATTAAATCTTAAATATTAAACGTTTAATAACAGTTTTATTCACGAACTCAGAAAGAGTATTTATTGATTTTATGAATTGCAAAAATAATATCTTAAGCTTTGATAATCGAACTATATTTCGAATTTGTAAAATAAGAACAGAAATAACATAAAATTTCAAACATAATATAAATTTCACATATAGCTAATATATAACATTAAATGTAAAAAAAATCTTACAAAAATTAGTACAGATACTAGACCACATGCTAGGTCTTTTATACATTAAAACAATAAAAATATTTATAAGTAAGTATAGACCAATTTGTATATATTGTTTTACTCCGCTAATCAATAGATCTTCTAGTATAACATAACTTAAATATATACAAATTACAATAAAAAAAAACTTCTTAAAATATGTTAGTATTTAACGAATAATATACATTTATCTAATAACATCCAATTTTAGTACAAATATCTTGTAGTCATACTAAAATCAGACTTTAAACAATTTGAAATCATCTTTATTAAGAAACCCCGGCATTATCCGCACTTTAGAATCAACTACATTGTTTGCAATTTGATATTCCTAAAAACGAGCAGTTTTTAAGTAGACTATAATTAACACAAATTCAAATAATCAAATTTTGTGACTACAGAGATTATTTCAAAAAAATTATTTAAGTCTAAGGTTTCATACCGGCCCAAATCTGGACAATCATTAAAATTTCGACGTTTTGCATACTTTTAAAATTTTAGTTTTTTTTTCATATTGATATTAAACAACCTTTAATGCTTCTAAGCATTTCACAATTATTTTGCCATGCACAAAATTTTGATTATAAAACAACAATAAACAGTTATATACAATAAAATATATACAATAAAAAATACTTCAATATTATATTTGCAATTATTTAAAAATAAACACTTAAAACTTTAATTTAAAGCAAAAAAAACTTGAATGTAAATTTGCTAAACATTGGTTAAAAGAACATCATAATAATCATAATTTAAGTTGCTTACATTTCGTTTAAAAAATTATAAAATTTTTGCATTAATAATAATAATATTATAACTGGCTTTAAATGTCTTTAAGTCAACTGCATAAATTTTTATAAAAACATTTTTAAAACGAAAAATATTAACAATTCGAAACACAATACATGCATACAATATATATATGTATATATATATATTAAAATAAAAAGCAAAATAAATATAAAATACGAGTACATACGTTTTAAAAATTGTTCCATTATTTTTGTTATCTATTTGACTTAAAATCTAATTTATTTATTACAATATTTTTATATAGTTTGTGATATTTTCTTATTTTGTTTTTGTTCAAAATCAAAGCATTTAACTGAAGCAAAAATACAAAATTTTTAAAATTATATATTTGCCTCGAAGCCATTATAATCTCAACTTACATATCTAAAATTTCATGATGTAATATTTAGTTTATACATACATATATATTATAAATATATATTTAAATTATTATATATGTATAAGTATTAATATATTATATATTACGTATTTATTTTATAGAGATTTTTTCTAATTTTTTTATTTTTTTTTTAGAACATAAAATTGTTCGTATATTGTTTAAATTATTGCGTGTTTCCGTATTTTATTTTTCTAGTTTCTTTTTGACAAATTATGAACTTGAACTTAAAAGATAATATTGTGTTAGAAGGTATGGTGCGTAGTTTTTTATATATAGATATATATTCATATGATTATATGTATGTATATTTACATATATCTAAACAAATGTATGTATACATATATACGTAACAGTTATATACATATGTTTAGACATATAAGTATACATATATAAATATATACATAAGTATATACGTATAGATATAGACGTGTATTTGTTTACGCTCCATAGATACCTACATACATTTGCAAACATACATATATATGTTTGCATATTTATATATGTCGTATATACATGTACACGTGTTTATACATATAACATATATATATACATATATTTATTAGTGAGTTTAAAACTTAATGCACAATTTAAGATAATCTTTTTTTTGTTTGTTTTTAATTTCGACGTAAAACTTATAAATTAAATTATATATAAAAATTAAATTAATAAACTCGCCTCTCGATGTTGTAATGGCCATTATTCTGCTAGATCTGAAACTTTTAATAGATTTGGCCATTACTATTGGTATATTGTTTAATCGTACAACTACCATTATTTTTAATAAAGTTTTATATATATATATATATTAAAAATAGCGCACACTGGCCGTGGTGGCCTACTTAATATGTCGTCATTCATTTTTCACTGGGTAACTATACAACAAATCTGATTGATTTGGATGTTGTACTTGTTGTTGTTGCATGTGATGCATATAATCGCTAATTGGAGGAAGCACAGTTTTGGCTTCATCTCCTAATCCTACTGGATAAGGTGAACGGTCATAGATGCTACCATGTGATGATGGTGGTGGTAAAAGATGTGTTGGTGCAAGCGGATGAGCTAATGGATGATGACCCGCTAATGGATGTGCATGAGCACCTGCTACTGTAGCGTGCGTTTGTAAAGCATGTGGATGGTAAGGTTGGAAGCTATTCTTTTGTTGCTCAGAAATATCACTTAAAGCTGCGTGATGTGGTGCTAAATGTGAATCATAAACGGAAGTTCCTGCACCATAAACTCCCGCATGACGCATAAGTCCAGCCGGACCAGCTGGCTGTAAACCATAAGTGGCATTAGCAGGATGTAACTGCTGTTGTTGTTGATGTTGATGATGAGTAGCTAACGTATTCTGCTGTTGTTGTTGTGCTGCTACACCTGCTGGTCCGGCGGCAGGTTGCATTAATTCAAAATTATATTCCATTGGGTTTGGATTACTATCGATGAGATTCGTCAAAATACTACCAATGTTATTATAGCTGTGTGGATCTCCGGCGTCACCTGTTGATTGGTTCGAATTTGTCGCAGACTGTTGTTGTTGTGGTTGCTGCTGTTGCTGTTGCTGTGGAGAACTACCAAATGTCATTTGATGACTACTTGGAGGATTCTGTGACCATATATTCTAAAAATTAAAATACAAAATAGATATTTGATATTTTTATGTTGAAAATGCTTTTATACCTGGAAATTTATTAAATCGGTACTTAAGTTTTGTTCTTGTGTTTGCGATTTGTTCGGTACACCACCGCTAATTCCTGCTGGCTGTTGTGTCTGTTGTGAAGACACTGAAGGAGTTGCAGTTGTTGCACCAGGTGTACCGCTGCCTGGCACGTTCAATGGAAGACCCAAAAATTCAGCAGAATCAACAATGTAAAATTTATTGCCATTATCTTTTCCTTCATTAACTACATTAGCGTTAGGAGCATTCTGCTGTTGCTGTTGATTGCTAGGTGCAGCTGCATTTGTTGGTGCAGCAAAGCCCCACGGGTCGGTGGGGGGTTGCTGTTGAAGTGTCGTACATTGTTGATACTGTTGGTGTTGTGGTGTATTTTGTTGTTGTGGTGGAGGCTGTTGTGGATGAACTTGTGGCTGTGGAGATTGTAAACGGTGTGGTGAATGAGATGGTTGTTGATGTTGCTGCTGTAATTGCTGTGCTGGCGTTTGATGGTGATGTGGTGAACGTTGCTGATTATGCCTATGTTGTTGCTGTTGCTGAAATTGATGCTGATGCATCAATTGTTGGTGGTGATGTATTTGTTGTTGTGTTGTAGACATATGGTGCGGTGAAGTAAAATGTTGTTGCTGCAATTGCTGTTGGTGTGGACTCTGTGGAGTGTGGCTACGTAAATGTTGTTGTTGTTGTTGCTGCTGCTGCTGTTGTTGTTGCTGCTGTTGTTGTTGCTGCTGTTGTTGTTGATTAACATGCTGCTGTTGCTGTTGTTGTTGTTGTTGCTGCTGCTGTTGTTGTTGTTGCTGTTGATGATGATGCTGTTGGTATTGATTAATAATTTGATGTTGTTGATATGACCCAGCATTGGTTGGTGCAGAGTTTTGATCGAAATGAAATTGAGTTTCTGCACTATTCTGATTTGGAGTTGCACCAAAACTGTTCAAACGCACCATCAAATTACTATCGGAAGAATTACTGTTAGGCGTGTGTCTATGATGTTGATTTGGTGGAGGAGTTGGACGTTGTTGTTGCTGAGGGTGATGTAATGTTTGCTGTGGTTGATTACACTGAGGTTGTTGTTGCTGTTGCTGTTGTTGTCCGATTAATTTCTCGGCACTGAAATTTTGGCTATACATGGAATTTTGCTGAGACTCATTCGTGGACAACGAATGTTGTGATGTTGATGCTGATGATGATTGAGAGCTATTACTGTTTATAATGGCTGGATTAAATTGTTCCTGTGATGTCCCAGGCGTTGTAGAGAGTGGGGGTGGTGTAGGAATGGCACCACTATTTTGCTGTATTTGTTGAAGTTGCTGTGGTTGCTGTTGTGGTGCCTGCTGCTGTGGCTGTTGTTGTGATTGCTTTGGTTTGCTCGAATTCGATTTTTTAGCAATTTTAGCTGGTGGAGGTCCAGGCATATCTGGTACGGGAACTAATTCTATACAAGATATATAAAAATTTCATATGAATATAAAATACAACTTAACTAAAAGCTTATTACTATTATTGTGTTATATTGGACTAATTGGACAATTTCGCCTAATTATTGCTACAAACAAAAATCAACAAAAACAACTTCAAATATTTCACATTGATTTTTATTTAAATCAATTTTTCAACATTAATCTATAGTCATTTTCACTCAATCTTTAGATTGTCAATTAATCTTCAATTTTCTGAAGATTATTCATTAATCTTCAGCTTTCTGAATATTGTCAATCGAATATTGTTTTCTAAAGATTATCCATCAATTTTCATTCCTGAAGACGACATTAAATTAAAGTCGGAATATTGATTTAAATAAAAATTAGTGTGAAATAATTTAAATTGTTTTTGTTAATTTGAAAATGTAAATATCACAATAGTGGAAAGTAATTATTCAATTAGTCCAATACAACACAATAATAATAATTTTGTTCATAAAATAAAAAATATCTAAGAACTTACCTTCATCCACTTTCGAGAAACGTTTAACCTTCTTTGGAGATGGTTGATTACCATGTACCGTTTGCTTATGGCGCACCAAATGAGTTTTCCACTTGAATGTCTATATTGTAAAAGAAAATTTGAAAATTTGTAATTATAAAACTATTTAATTAAATCAAAATAAAAATAAGTTTACCTGATCACAGTATGTACAGCAATGTGGTCTTTCCTCAGAGTGTGATGGCAAGTGACGTTGCAATGATTTTACGGATCCAAAACGTTTTCCACACAGAGTACATTTGCAATCTGAAGCATCAGTATGCGCATTACTATAATGATCCTTTAGAGCTGGATATGTAAAATAGGATGATCCGCACAAATCACAAACATAAGTGCGTTTAATTTCGGTGTGAAGTTGTACGTGCCTTTCCAGGTTCGCTTTCAGAGTGAAGCGATTCTGACATATATGACATTCAAAAAAGTTGTCCTTTTTATGTACGCGAATGATGTGTTGATAAAGCGCATTTTTAGAAGGAAACTCCGCACCACACACTTCACAAATTGCGCCGTCCACCTTATGACCAGTTGTTTCCAAATGTTGTTGGTGTAATTTTTTATGTGGAAACTTTTGACCGCACTCCACGCATGAATAATCTATTCAAATTTAAAAATTGTAAGTTAATTACAGAAACAAAAACCATGAACTAAAACCAAAAATTTATGATTTTATCTAATCAAATTATTTATATACTAATAATATGATAATAAAAAATAAAAACTTTTACAATACAAGATTTTTGCTAAAGTACGAATTTAAACTAAATTAAAAATATTGATTTACATTGTTTTAAATGCTAAAAGCAAATATCAAAAACAAATATAATTTTAATACTTTGAAACCATATTGCTTAGCAAATGCAATTGTTTTTACCGACGTAAACAACAAAAAATGTATATATTGTTTATCATATTAATTGAAATTTACACTTCGATATAGCTACGTTTATACGAATTTGAATTTGCAAAAGTTTGGAGCACACTCACACTCACTTTTGAATTCTTTCTTATTGTGAGACTCGACATGGGCATGAAATTGTTGTTTACGAGAGTAGGATTCGCCACATGTCTCACAAACGAAAGGAAACTCCTTAGCATGCACAGTGCGATTATGTTGTATTATTTCCTGTAGAGAAGAAAAAAAAATTAATACTTTAAATTCTCAATACATATAAATAGAACATAATATATTCACCTCAAGAGTTGTTCCATTTGGTTGACCGCAATCATGGCAGTAGCCTGGATGTATTTTATAATGATCAAGTAATGATTTACGTTTTCTATATGATTTAGGACATAAAAGGCATTTATAGCTTGGTTTTTCTTTTTTAGCTCCAGGCGTAATTCCTTGATTGCCAGCACTTGTTGGTGCTGGCAGTGACGTACTACTACTACTACCGCCATCAATTAATTGTGGCTTTGTTTCTATATCATCCAAATCATTTTCATTTTCATCCTCGTCTTCTTCATGTGATAAATCATTATCATCTAACTCTAAAGAAACATTATGCTGCAAAGATGGTGCATTTTCAGCGCCAGAAATAGAACTTGCCGTACCGGACATAACCGAAAGTGAAGAAGATGATGTTGGAGTGGTCGGTATTTGCGGTTGCATTAGCATATGCTGTGGATGAGGTTGATGTGGCATATGGGATGGTATATTTTGTTCGCGATGAGCCAAATGCAACTGTTGCTGCTGATGTTGCTGAAACTGTTGTTGTTCTGCAGCATTTGGTTGTCTCACACCACCTTCTAAAATACTGTCAATACTATTTATTATAGCTGTACCTTGATTATGTTGCAATCGCTGCTGTTGGTGTTGCTGCTGTAATTGCTGTTGTTGTTGTTGCTGTTGCTGCAATTGCTGTGCACTTATTGTCATACCACCCATCATTGCCAGTGGATGAGTTTGAGGTATATTCATATTGAAGTGATTCTGAGTATGATTCTGCTGTTGTTGTTGCATTAAAATTTGTTGTTGTTGCTGCTGCTGTACACTAAATTGTTGCTGATTTATATTTGATAATGTATTGTCTGCAGAAATTGGTCGTTTTATTGGTGCCACAACTCCAATCGGTAAAATGCTGTTATTTGTATTTGGCAATTCAATGCTTTCACTTTTAATATTATTTTCAAGAGCCAGATGCTGTTGCTGTTGCGGTTGTTGTTGCTGCTGATGCTCCTGCACTGAAAACATAGTTTGCCGATGATGTTGCGTTTGTTCTTGTTGAGACAACTGCTGAAGTTGATTATGCTCCTCCCGATGCAGCATATGCTGAGGATGTTGTAAAAGCGTCGGTGAAGTATTCAATTGTTTCTGTTGATTTGAATTGCTCTGAAAATAATGTTGACTCTCTTGCTCCTTAGGAGTTAAATTTGTATTATTATTTTTAGTAATGCTTGTTAATTGTGGCATGCTATTGAGATTATTAGTATTATTGCTTGTTGTAAGGCCATTGATTACAAGGTGATTGTTCCTTTAATAAAGAAAATATAATTAATTATTAAAATATAGGAATATAAAGAATTTATTCAATGTGAAAAATGATACATAAAATTTCAATTATACTAACCCTTGTTGTTGATTATGTTGCAGATGATTGCTGATACTGATATTGCTTATTGTTGCGGCCGGATCGCTCACAAGCGATGTGGTCATTTTTTCATTTGATGAATTGAGTAACGAAATTGTTTCAGCTACACCATTCAAACTATTACTACTACTTCCGCTTCCTAACACATCATCTATTTCTGGTTCCATTTCCATACCATCAATTGTACGATTAGAGCCAGCGCCATCATCTAATATCTCTTCAAACTTGATCATCTCTTGAGCTGCAGATGACAACTGCGATTCAGTCTCTGAATCCATTTCTGGATCAAACATCGGTGCTAAGAGAACCCGCCGTTTAGCTTGCATATTTGCTAATAAACGTTGTCGCTGCTGTTGTTGCCATTCTTCCTTCCTTTGCTCACGTAAAGCCTGTAAAACATGAACTGGTGGAGCTGTGCCAAGCAGTTGGCCGGTCAGTATAAAATTCTGATAAAATTGTTTCAGAAACGGTTTATGGTGTAAGTTCAATGCTGTTTTCAGACGAAATCGGAATTGCTCTTTGTATGAACGTACATTAAATTCGCCCGTACTATGATGATAGTGCAAAATAATTTCGCTATCTGGATGGAAGACAAAGCCTTCGCCTAGTTTAGAAGCACCTATAGAACGACATGTCAGCACTAGTTTCTCACTGAGTACACGTTGGTTTTGTTGATAGTTATTAAGCGTATGGCGTGGTAAACGTCTAATGGACCGCACAGTTTTTTGTGTATCACAACTATTACTTTCATCAGCATCTGTTAAAACGGCTTCATCAACACCATATGTTGCATATTTAATTTTAACCAAGCGTCTCGTATCTATTATGGATGAGGGTATCAGGTCCAACGGATCACGATTCGATGCACCCGTTGCATATCGCAGATGTTTGCTTAGTGAGGACGAATTTTCAGTATCACCATCATCATCAGCGTCTTCATCATCCTCTTCTAGGCACACGAACTCTTCTTTACAAAGAATTTTTTCAAAATTTTGATTCAAATCCGTAGATCCTTCATCTTCAATTTTGACTTCTTCTTTTCTGGTAGCGGACAAATATGGTTTTTTGTTTGCATGCTTTGTTGAACTGGTATAGTCATCACCAATATGGGGAAAAACATTTCTAACGACTTGGTCGCATGTATCCGGATATTTACATTTGAGGGTTTTTAGGAGAAATAGTATAGAATCGCACCGCGATACTGTGTTTAGACTATCCAATAAACTTAAAGACTGCTCTACCTAAAATACAGAAATAAAAATATATTAATATTTTGATCAAACAGAGCAACAATAATAAAAAACATTCATTTTATAACTCAATATATGAAAGATCAGAAAATTAAAATTTAGTACCATATTTATAGTTTAATATGTACAAATTTGATCTCAACATCCACTTGATACAAACTAAACAAAAAACGTACCAATCAACTGTTACAACTAAGGCATAAACTGCTCAGCACTACGGTCGGAGTTGTAACTCTGTAGATAAGAGGGAAACTATACTGCATCTCATTTTTAATGGACTATAGTCCATGATTGGCTAATAAAAGAAATTAAATCTTTAGAGCATATTTTCTTAATGACCTGACAGAGTGTCATCCTGAATAATTAATGACTTCGCCAAGTTTATAGATATTTCAGGTTCGTTTAAATTCAATTGAATGAGGGAGTCATGCCTTACGAGCCGTGCATTGACTTCTAGGTCTGCGTATCACCATTATTTGAGCTCAGGTGGGGGCTTTGGTATAAAAGTTCGCCACTTCAACCTAAATACACCTATTTTCTGATAAATATCAGTGATATCACCTATCTGTTTTCATGTCCCAATGTACACACCAACTTTAAAATTTTCTCAACAGACACAAGGATATTCGGTAATAAACGATGCCTTATCGAAATAAATTTTGTTTCTATCAAATATTCTTGAAATTTTATATATTTTGCAAATTTTAAAACTATCATATCGGACTCTTTTTGTAATATTCATCGTATAGTTGTTTTAATTTGTTCAACTGTAGATTTAATTATCTTTGCCAAAGATACAGTTTTCTGTCCGATAATGACTATACTGTCTCGTATTACAGTTCGTGATAGGAGTACTTCTTATTTAATATACATACATATAGGTACATAGCAAGTTAATTACGGCACTTATCTTTAGGACGAAATATATAGAAGTAGATAAATAAGAATTTAATTTAAGTAACTATATGTATATAGGTTTCTCTCTGGTATTATGTTCGAATTCTAAAACGATGGCAGTGTTAACACTAGTTTAAAAGTTATAGTAATTTAAAATTGATTAAAGGTCAGTTGGTCCACCCGGTATATATGTACATGATACTAAAAACTTAATAGCTTTTCTTAAAATAGTATTTAAACCATTTACCAAGCTCTTATGCATCTAGCAGGATTAATCTACATACATGCCAGATAATCCCAATACATTAGCCAAGGTTCGATATCATAGCGATGAAATGCAATGAAAATATTGTTCTCACCACAGGTAAATTCCTACAAATACAAGTGCAACTACAATAACACACCATATGGGGAGTGTATAGAACTAAGATATGTATATAAATTTTAATATATTTTTTTAAATAATATTATTTATAAAAAGAACTTTAAATACAGAGTGATAAGTAAAATGACAATTTTAAAAATCGATTTCTATGTGCTTATGTATATAAAAGCAAGAAAGATGCTAAGTCTTGCAATCTAGTCAACTACTGGTTATTACAACCTATTTTATTTAATTTAATATTAAACTTTTTTCTATACATTTTGTTTAGATGAGAAGAAGCAAAGCTATGAAAATGATTAACAGTATAAAAATTATTTTACCGTTTTCTTATAGACGTTCATTTGTGTGTATTTAGAAAAAATTTAATAAAAAATATGATAAACATTTTTGTTATGACTTTAATTACAACATCAATTATAAAAATAAAAACTACAAAAACAAAGAAGAAAAAAAACATTACATTGTAAGTTTTAGTCTAAAAGCTATAATTATAAAAATAATATAAAAAAAAATGTTAAAAACAATAATAAATTAACTCAGTTTTGTTTAAAACGAGAAAAATTGCATTTTTAAACCGAACACAAAAAAATGTATTTTTAATGTCTTTAGTTAAAGCAGAGAGCGTTCATATTAGCCGCAGACTCTCTTCTCACTAAAATGCCATTGATAACAAGAAAAACAACAAGAAGCAGCAAGAGAAATTTGTGCTACTTTTCCCCACACTGTGCTTCTCCAATACACCTTACCCAACACCGCTAAGCTACTATACTATACTACTACTATTGCTGCTGTTGTTGCTGCTGCTGCTGTCGCTGCCGCTGCTGCTGCCTTCTTGTTTATTTATTTACAAACTCTTCATCCTTGTTTATTTACCCCACACCCACTGAACTGGCACTGGCTCTAGCTCTAGCGTTGTTCGAATATGTTGGTATAACTTGTATGTGAAATGTATGTTTGCACGTTTGTACGTTGTTAGTATATTTGTATGCATATGCGTATGTATATATTAATGTATATTTGTTTTTTATTCTGTTATGTGTTCCTAGTCGTAGTTTTTCTATTTTTTCTTTGAATATTTTTGTTCATTTTTATTTGTTATTAGTGTTTTAGGTTGATTTTTTGTGTTGTTTTGTGTTTTGCGTTGTGTTGTGTTGTACAATAAAAAATAATAGAATGCATTTTAGTTAAATAATATTTACATACATATACAGCTTGCTTGTACGTACATAAAAGCTATTTATGAATTTAATCCATTTACAATAGGGTGACCATCTAATATTTTTTATTCTAAAAACTTAAAGTTGAAAGGTAATAAAATATGCTTGCAGTTACTTGTAATGAATAATTTAGGAATTATCCGATTTAGATTTAGTAAAAATATGTATGTTACTTATATGCACTATAAAGGTAATTTAGTTAATTGTAAATTAGTTTCGGTTTTAAATAAAAATTATATCTTATTACCATACACAATAACACATTCGAGAGCTACTCTAATTGTCCTATAGAAGGTTAACTTTACCATTACACGAGGACGTCTATTATATTTATCGCGCAAAATCTAACTGATCTTATAAACGTGTGTGGAATATAAATAAAATGCTAGTTTGAAAGCAAGCAATAAAATACACATTCAATATTATTATAAAGAACCCACTTTAAAATATATGGATAAAACATTTTTGTATATTTCATATCTATGGGGGTATACTATAATATGTCTGAATATTGGGGTAATCCACACACCGTATTTATGTTCATTGTAATCTCTATAATCCTCTAACAATGCGAAGAAAATACTTTAATGATCCGGACACAAAATTTTTTACTTTTCTTTATAATTTTCACAATCCTTAAACTTATTTATATATGTATATGTACCAGTTAAAAGGGAAACAAATTGAAAACTAAACAGTTCTAACTCTTTTGAATAAAAATCAGAATGTCCATCAACAGAGTATTCCTCACTCTAGAGTTCTTAATATCCAATGGGTACATAAGTTCTGATCCTACAATTACCATCTTGCTTTAAATCAAAGTAGCACAGTCACAAAAAATGTGATTAGACATACATATCTTGTTGAGATGACAGAATAACGCAGATAATGATCTCTCTTCAGGTCACCTACCGAAATCTTAGCTTTATCCTGCTGAAAAAGAACAATGTCTTCAATATTTATATTGACTATCAAAACTTCATGTCCAATGACCAATCGTACCATTGGATATGTTATTAATTAGCGTATAAAATAATCACAACAACTCACATATATTTTACAAATGTGTGATGCTGTTTGTATGCCGACAATATTGATATTGTTTCAATACTGATATTGAAGAACGGTACTTTCTGTCGACAAACTAATTTCCTGAATATCAAAGTCACTGTTGATGACAACTATAATTTTGAACTTGTGAAGACTTTGTTTATGTGGGCATCAACGTAAACACCAAATGACCTCAACCTAGAGATTTAAAGAAGAATCACTCTTGCTAACAGATGTTATTTAGGGCTAAATAGGCAATTGAGGAATAAAGCCCCCTCTCCACGAACAAAAATCACGCTCCACAAGTCTTAATAAACCTGTCTTGCTATACTCGTATGGTGCAGAATCTTGTACAATTACCAATAGTGATAAGAAGGCGTTAGGAGCGAATAAAAGAAGTCGAGAGAAAAATTCTCCAGAAGATCTATGATTCATTAGGCGTTGACAATCGTATTAAATTGACATTGACATAGTTAAGCGCATAAAAATTTAGCCGCTTCGCTGGCTTGATTATGTTCAGTACGAATGGAAAAAGCTCCTGCTAGAAAGGTGTTTCGATGTGGTACCTGCTGGTGCAAAAAATGGTAGAGGACGTCCACATCTTTGATGAATTGACCAGGTGACCCTCGATTAAAGGCACTCGATATTATCAACTGACAACAGGAAGCCACTAAACGGGCTGGTTGGCGCAGGATTTGGACGCGGCCAAGAATGACTCACGTCTGTAATGACTAACAAAGAAGAGAAATAATCACAACAACAAAAAGTTATTGCCAAAGAAGAAGAAAAACTGTTTATGATAATACTTTTTCTTAAGTATGAACATAGCATGTTTATTATGGCTCGTATTTTTGGGACAAGGTCTATAGATGTAGAAAACTAAAAATTTGAGTTTAATATAAAACGAAATGAATAACATCATTATCTCTGATCATTTTTTGCATACCGTATTATTTTTTAAAAGTATTTAGGAAAATAAAATACCTAAAAATAATACCGAACACAACTTTTTCGACTTCTAGTAACATTCCATAAATAACGACTGTGATTCTTATTTGTTCATTTTAGTAATGAACAAAATCTCTAAGTGTAATATATGATATATGACCTTGAACTTTCGTCCTCCTTTCATATTAAAACATATTTTACAGCTTTACAAAATTTTTGGGAACCTCTCTAAATATAAAAATGAGATGAAAGCTTGACTTAAGAGCTAAATTACAAACTTACTAAAGAACGTTCTTTCGCCACTAACGAAAATATGAAAAACGTGCAATAAATGGTAATGAATAGTCGAAAAATATTAAGGATGAGGATGTTTTCTTTGAGTCAAATGATATTTAAACACATCTAACTTTTTGTTGCAACATATTTTGCTTAAAACGAAGTGAATTCTTTACGAAGAATTGAAGCATTCGATGAAACGTGCATTCTGAAGAATG